CACCGCCCAGAAGCAGCAGCAGCGACACACACTCACCGCCCAGAAGCAGCAGCAGCGACACACACTCACCGCCCAGAAGCAGCAGCAGCGACACACACTCACCGCCCAGAAGCAGCAGCAGCGACACACACTCACCGCCCAGAAGCAGCAGCAGCGACACACACCGCTCAGAAGCAGCAGCAGCAACAAGCTCAGAGTCAGACTAAGCCAGTAACACGGGGGAGAGTGAAACAGGTTTAGGAAGGGTTTAGTAACGTATTGTTGAACTGTTCCCCATGTTGCTACATTTATGAGCCATCACTATTGTTTGAAGATAGCATCTGCTGATGAATAAATGTAAATGTGTGTAATAAACACTGTAATAAACACATGCTGACTCTCACACATTTGGCTGATTTAGTTTTTGGTTTGGTTCTACAGAATCGCTGCAGCTCTTGCTGTGACGCCTGAACGACTGATGGAGTCGTTTTAAAGTAAATGTGCAAAATCAAGTGTAAGTTCAGGCGTCTGTCACTGCACACATTCACAAACATCACAGTGAATTCTGACTGATCCCAGCAGTGCTTCACGCTTTACACAGGAAAACCCCAAAGACATTCCAGACCTGTCCGGGCAGATCCACCTTCAGCTGATCCACTGCTGTGAAAACCACTATATAAAGAATCTCAAGACTCTAAACTAGTTCATCAACCGGCATGAGAAAGTGTGTGTGTGTGTGTGTGTGTGTGTGTATGTGAGAAAGAGAGAGTGAGTGAGTGTGTGTGTGTGTGAGAGAGAGGGAGAGGGAGAGTGAGTGTGTGTGTGTGTGTGTGTGTGTGTGTGAGTGTGAGAGAGAGGGAGAGAGAGTGCGTGTGTGTGTGTGTGAGTGTGTGTGTGTGTGTGTGTGTGAGTGTGAGTGTGAGTGTGTGTGAGTGTGAGTGTGTGTGAGTGTGTGTGTGTGTGAGAGAGAGAGGGAGAGAGAGAGTTTCTGTGGTTCCTCTGGGAATAATTCATTCAGGAAAGTCAGTCAGTGCTGATTCTTTGGCATTCTTGAGGTTCTGGCATTGTATGTAGATATACGACTGTTTGTGAGGTTGTGTTGTGCTTATCAAACTGAAGCTGTCACAGGACTGCTGACCTTTGACCCCTGATAGTAACTCCTACCAAAAATGTCAAACACCATGCAACCAGAGAACAAAACAAAACACAGAGCAGCAGCGAGTCTGTTGATATGTGTGTGTGTGTGTGTGTGTGTGTGTGTGTGTGTGTCCCTACAGCCAGTAATTCATGTCCATTAATGTCCTTTGTGAAGTTCATACTAAATGGGATTGTGTTTATATATTGTATATATTAATGTGTTCTTGTGTAGGATGGAGGTGATGATGAAACACACTCACACTCACACTCACACACACACACAAACACTTACACGCACATACACACACACACACACACACACACAGCAGGACACTGAAGCACAAATACAGACAGGACTGCGCACCAGACGTCTGTGAGCTGCATTAACGTGACGGTCTGAAACTCAAGCTCTGGAGGTCCATCTGCAGGGGCCCCTGAGAGGCTCCTGAGGGCCGCGGCTCTGCTGGACACACTGATGAATGACACCAGGCTGATGAAAGCCATCTACACACACAAAATCCTCTGTTTCTTATTGGCTTTTATTATACACATGGGACACACAAGCGGCGCATTTGGTATTTTGGATGCTTTCATATTTACAGCAGCTTTAGAGAGAAGCGTCTGAACACACAACTAAACCAGCATGAAGCTCTGGAGCAGCTTCACACGTTTGACCTGCTTGGGTTTATTCCTCACAGATGATATTCCCATCAGGAACAGAGACGTGTCACAGGCCAGAAATAAAGGCATTCTGCTAAAGCACAGCTGAGTGAGAAATCATCACAAACAGAGACGATGAGAGGAACACAGATCTTCAAGTCAGCGGATGTTAAACTCACTCCACATGCGGCGCTCTGCCTGTAGTTTTTAGACTTCTGCTGCCATTCCGGCTGTAACAGGGCTCACAGATTAACTGGTTAGAATGGGTTAGTTAACCTCTCCTGGAAGTTGCTGTAACTGTAATAAAATAATCATAATCAACATATAAATCACAAATATTGCATCATATTCAATAGATTGTCTAAAGTCTGAGTAAAATACTCATAGTCAGACTACAGTTACTTTTTATTGATAACATGATTTCATATTATTCACACAATAGCAATAAATTATTCAGAATTGATTGATTTTCCCTAAATCTTGTCTTTCATCTTTTAATTTTGCTTTCTGAATTAGCCCACCGCCTCCATTCACTCAGAGATCAGGCTCTAGGCCAGAGGATATAAGTACACAGCATTTAAGCACTGGATTCACAGAAATCATTTACATTTTAAGAAATATTCTCTCGACATTTCAGCATTGCATCAACTACTGATGAACACATTAATGTGTGTGTGTGTGTGTGTGTGTGTGTGTGTGTGTGTGTGTGTGAGAGAGAGAGAGAGAGAGTCTTACAGTTTTTCACATTTGCTAAGACACTAAACTCCATTCTCTGAACCAAATTCTCAATAGCCTAAACCAATTTGTCAAATAATTTAAATCATTCTTTCTGCAAAACCCTGTTATTCCTATGTATGTCTGCACTATGTTTGTACTTTCTTCTGCACTGGAAGCTCCTGTCGTCAAGTCAAAATCCTTGTGTGTGTAAACGTACTTGGTAATAAAGCTCTTCTGATTCTGATTCTGATCAAGTTCAGGCAGTTTAGACTGTTTGCAGTTCTCATGCACTCTTTTTGAAAAACTCAACTGCAACACATATGTCATCATTTAACACACAATAATTCAAAACCGTTCACACTTGTTTCTAAATATGTGAATGTACAAAATATAAGCCAGTTCAAAGTGCATCCATCAGTCTGAGAGGTACAGAAGAGTGGAGGAAGAGGAGGGTGAGGAAGAGCAAGACCAAGAACAGTCATTTCAGATGAAATCAGAGCTACTGTGTG